GGGGTCGGTGGGGGGGGTGGCGGTGTAGCCAACTTTTGAAGCCTGTTACTTCTTCTTGACGGGAACACAAGCAAAAACCAACCCTTCGGGATTTCACTGGCGCCGCCCCAGCAGGGGTCGGCGGATATTTGAGCGCACGGAGCCGGGCAAGCGGGAGTCGTCCCGCACTGCGTCTAATGGCGCTGTGACGAGTCGTGCTCAGATTTGGCAACCCTCTCAACCCTGTCAGTGGACGCGGTGTGTCCGCATCCACCGCAAAGCGCGATCCATTGCAACCTCTCCCGGGGCCAGCGGCATCCAGGCATCCCTCGGTAAGTGCGGTCCATTGAAAACTCCAATGCATGCCTCATGTTGGCCTGGCAATGACAGCCCCTTCGAAGCGGCGCGTCCGGGCGCGCGCATGCGGCGCCGCACTGCTTTAAGCCTTGACATGTTCATTCCCGCCAGCCCTTGGGAGCAACATGTTGGTCATATCTCTAATCGCGCAGTACATGGGGGGGAAGCTTTTTGACATGCTCCTCAATCCCATCTGAATCCCACCAGACGAGGGTGTAAAACATGAGGCTCGCGCAACATAACGCCGCGCGATGTCATGCCGTGACGGTTCGGGGTGGTAAAAGCTCCGAATCCCGCCGGTACATCGGGAATCCCTCCTTCAGCAAGCGCGATCCATTGCTATTTCCCATGCCTTGACCTCATGACAACCCTCTCCGTTGGACACCGTGGTGCCGCATTGGTGTTAGCCTCGAATCTGAATCCCGCGAGTCAACGGGGGGAGCACTTTCATGTCTTTCGGCCGCGCTCCTGAATCCCATCTAAATCGCGGTACTGAGAAGCATTGTGGTCATGTCTGCAAATGCATCAGCACATGGGTCGTGATCCTGACTGCTGCTTGGACATAGGACACAGCAGGGACGATTTTAGGTCGAGAGTTTGTAGAAGCATTTATGGAAGGAGTTGTAGAAGGGTTTACAGAGAAGTTTATGGGAGGGTTTGTGCACGGGCTTGGAGAAGGGTTTCTGGCAGGGTGGATGGATGGAGGGATGGAAGAATGAATGGATGAACGGATGGATGGATGAATGGATGAACCGTGGATGGATGAATGGATGGATGAGCTGATGTTCTCTGCTGCCTCGCCGCTCTGAACACTTTCTGGACACTGGTTCTGCAGTTGCCTTCTCATGGAAGGATCTACTTGCAGCTTCCTCGGGATGATGACCTCGTGCAATGTGCAGCGAAAGGCGCAGCAGAGGTGAGCCTCAGCCTCTCGAAAAGGCAATGCAGCGGCAGGCCGGGAAGACCCGAGTGGACCTCTTTTGCCGGAGTCGGCCAAGCGACTGAGGTACTTCAATCTGGCCGGAGTTGCGAACCGACTCATGGACTCGGTGTCCGGGTGGCATTCCTTTCGGCGAACGAAGATGTAGGCTCTCTGGTGGTGCCGAGGACGTTCAGCACAGCTTCTGGTGGCAAAGACGCCTGAAGACCGACATGCACCGTGCGGAGCTCTACTCAAACAAGAGTATTCAGGCTGCAAGTCATAGCTACTGCAATTCGGAAGCACCGTGTTGGTGTAGTGTTGGGTCGGTGCCAACAGATACCACTCAAATGTGTGACATGCAGACTGCAGATCACGTGAGGTTTGCAGGTCATGCGTCCACGTGATCTTGTCCACATGGGAAGTTTGTGCGTGCCCAGCTCCTGCAGTTCCGGCCTGAGCTGTCGGACCATGTCGGACCTCGAAACAGCAGCACTCCGTGAGAGCGCTGCAGGCGAAGATGCCGTGGCTGGCTGGTTTGCATCGAAGCTGGAGAGGGACCACAACGCATACACACCGCCCAGACTCATAGAGCTGCCAAGCAGAAATGGAGCAGAAATTCCCGAACCTCATCCTGACGTCGTGAGAGTCTTGTTCAACTTGAACTGATATCGCAACGAATCCCAGGCTTAACGCCACCCACGTGCGGCTCTCACCACTTCGTGCAGTTCGACGGCCGTACCCAAGATTCACAGGCTGGTTCGTCTCAGGGCATGCAAGTGTTGCGAAGCTCCAGTCGGGTCTCCGACTGTAGGCATGCGATACTCTTGGCTCTGTATGCTCCTGATCAAAGACCCACAGGCTCATGGATTTCCTGGAGAAGTCAGCACTCAGACGACACAAGGACCAGTGAGTGCAGTGCTTCCCATCCGCGGCGCATGGCGTCTGCCAGGAAAACCGGAGCGAAGTACGTGGAGTTCATCCTGCTGGAACACAAATCATGGAGGCTTCCGCCCAGGTATTAAGAAGATTCACAGCGACAGCGTGTTCGGGTAGGCAGCTCCGGCCGAGCCAGCAGACGGCGATGGTACTGCTTGCTTTGGCCATTCCTGTTCTCTTCGCCAGTGCCATCCGAGCCGCCGGCCCGCAGGCCACAGCATCTGCCCTGCTACTCCCTGCATAGGAGGTTTGGAGGTTAGGATGATCTCGTTCTGCGGAGGTCATGAGTGGATTAGCCCTCCAGACAAGCGTGGGACGTTTGTTTGCTCCCCGCCCCCTCTGTTACGATGTGTGCCTCATCCGCAGTTACAAGGAACAAGGCATCGAGGCGCCACATACCGACGCAGGCGACAGAAAGTTTGGCAGAAGTGCATCGAGCCGCTGTGGTCAGCTCAGGTGTCGAATCCTGACCACCCTCTTTGTGATTGCCATCCACGTGAAGGATCATTATCCCTTTCCAGAGGTGACGGCGGTGTCTACGCCCTTCGAGCAGATGGCCGTGGGCGTCAAAGCCAGCTGGCCGAAGAAGGGCAGCGGCAGAAAGCTTTGGAGTCTTAGTCCAAAAACAAAAAAGCTCCTGGACTGGCTCGTGTAAGGCCGTCCCTGTGAACCAGCTTGCCATCCTACTCATGGTCTACCTCAGCCTCCGAAGGCTAGAGCCGAAGAGCTTGGGACCTCTTGCCTGGCTCTGGCGGGTCTTCTGCTACGCTCTCCGTCGATGGGCTCTCATGCTTTCTGTGGCTGCTTGGATTGGAACCTCCACTTCAGTTACTCATTTGCTCAGATGACAGGCGTCTGAGAAATCAGGTTGGGATCTGGCTTTACGTTTACCTCGAAGTCCTCGTGAAGGACGTGCCCATCCCGAATCTAGGCAGGTGACGTGCCGACTGCATGCGATAGAGAGGAAGCTTTTCCAGGCGGTAGGTACCACAGAAGGCTCTACATAGTGCACAGGTTTAAGGAAGACTCTATGCCAGCCTGCACAGGCAAGACCAAATTCCTTGAGCTATGGTTTTCAGAAAAACGTGGGATCCCCAGATTGCAGGCTGAGGGCACGTGCTTGACCCCTAGATTCAGATGTGCTCAGGTGATGAGTGCTCACGAATGGAGCACCTGCTTCCAAGCATCTTCCTTCTGCATGAGGCGCGGGAAGGATAAGTCTGCTTGTCAGGCTGATCTGTAATACTGGACTTGAGGCGTTCCATTTGAAGCCTACGCCATGCCACAACTTGGGGATATTTGAAGCATGTTGGCAAGTCGATGTCTGCCCCTCAGTCACAGCAGCAAGCCGGAGACCTCATTGCAAGGTGTTTACTTTCCATTCAACCAGGGCTCAGGTGGTGACGTTCTCGCTTATGACCCTGCCCGGGCTGTCACGAAGCAGGTGGCTCACGGCAGGATTGGCAGCTCCTGGGACTTCCTCTGGAACCGTGCTGAACTTGTGAGTGCTGCTGGACTCGTGTGGACATGTCCGCAGCAAGGCAATGATGTTTCTGCCAGCGGCGTTTAGCAGCTCAGCCGTGGCTGCACCTTGATTGACCAATGCTGGAGATGTTTGGGGTTTGTGATTTGCGGTGCCTCCTAAGCTATTAGGCGCTAGATGGGATATTTTAGCAGACGTGTTTTTGCGGTGGCCTGTTGAAACAGGGGTTGAAAGGAAGATGTGGGATGGTAGAGGGAGAGCGGGGTCAGAACTATTGACTCGCTCCCAAACTAGCTTCTGCAGATAATCTGAAGCTCAGGAGAGAGGCGCGTTCCTCTTCCAGCACAGGCAGCGATCAGTAAACACCCGCTGTGAACGTTGGACCGTGTCACCTGCAGCAAGCTTCAGTCAGCAGTGTGGCAGTGTAGGCGCCAGCGACAATATTGATTATGGGATGGGTCAGGTAAGTGGGAGAGTTCCATCGGCAGGTTGGGAGATCTCCTGGCGCCGGCACTTGCAGCCGTGTTCTTTGCCGCCCTGCTGCCACGAGCAGAGCTCTTGGAACCTAGGCCTGTCTTGAGGCGACTCGGAGGGAAGCCAGTTTGACCTTACCTGTTGCGCACCTCGGGTCTTCGCGAGGTTCCTCCTGAGCACGATGGCCTTTGCCGTGACCTCCGCCGGCATCCTTCTGATAGCAGCGGCCCACTTGGGGTGGCTGCCGCGGGTCGCTCGGCCAGGAAGAATCACGCCGATTGGATTCGTGGCAGGGCAGAGCCTGCGGGACACTGCACTGTCTTACTGCCCAGTTCCGCCGAGGCTCCGCAGATCCCGGATGGTGTGATGCAAAACCTGATGGTGCTGCCTAGCATGGTCGGAGTGCTCCTCATGCTGCGAATAGCGGAGGCGTCGCCGCCTCACTCGAAAGGCCCAGGGAGTGAACAAGCACTGGCCTGGAGTAGAACCTAGGATCTAGGACCTAGGGAACATAGTGCGCAAACATCATTCAATAGAGGAAACGATGATAATTAGACTTCTGCTTCGAGCCTGCGTTGTTCATGCTGCCACAAGAGGTGTTGAGAGCTCTGATCTACAACGAAACAGCAGCTGGTGTTTCACCTGCAGTACTGAAGGACTCTTGGGGCGTTTGCTGAACGCCTTGGGCCGTCTTTCGCCCGGCATCAATTTGTCGCACCTTTTCGATGCTTGACCTGCAGTTCGCTTACGTTGAAACGAGCATAGGAAAGCACATTGGTAATAGGCTGTGCCGGTGCAGTGATGATGTTTTCTTTTGGGCTTGGGCTTCTTAGGTAGCTCAGATGCACCTCGGCTACTCCGAAGCTTGGCCCAGAGAATTCTCTGCAGGTGCCCCAAGCGCAAAGCACCAAGCATGCGACACATGCGACTGAGGAATCGCCCATCCAGTGGTTCCGGGATCTTCCGCCGTCGCCGGTGCTGTTTTTCTCTACAGTTGCCTGGGCCCAAGCTTGGCCCTGAGAATACTGGCTCGGCTTGGAGCCTAGCAGAGGCACTGCTCTTCGTTGTGTCCACAGTGGTGTCCATGCTCGTCTTTGTTCTGGTCGAGGGTCCAGTGCAGGCTCGACATGGCTCTTTGATGCAGCTTGTGCTTCGGGATGCTTGGCGCCTTTGGCCTGCAAGGCCCTGGTGGGCTACGGCGGCCACGGCACATCCCAGACATTGCCCTCCGGGTCCGTTACGCGGATGACGACAAATGGAGCGGCAAACGGCCACACCTCGGTGGCCAATGGATCCCGGCGCCGGCGCTGACACGCTCAGACGCCCTGCCACAACCAGTTCTTCAGGCTGCGAGCCGACACTTGGAGGCTACAGGGCCGGGGGAATAGAAGCTGAAGGATGTCGAGCCAGCATCTCAAGAGGCAAGTACTCTTTGAAACGTATTAGTCTTAAACAGACAAGTGCACGACCTCAAAGTAGCTGCGAAGAGTTTCACTGGGTATTGGCATATTGTGGCACTCAAGATGTCTGCTGAGCCCAGCGCAGCATTGCTGCACGAGTCATCCCGCATGAAGCGCCTGTGTCCTTGAGAGCGCGCTGCTCTCTTGACTGGGACTTGTTTAAATCCCTCACTCGCGATGTGTCTGTGTCCGCCTGCATACGCGTGGCTTCATGTTGCCTGCAGTAGACAACATGGCAGCTCTGTCCTTCACCCGAGGCCTCCAAGACTGTCACAGACTGCTCCGGGAGGCTTCGGTTGTCTTTTGATCTTGGATTTCGTTGTCTGTTGGGGCGAAGAGGTCAATCAGCGAGGAGCAGCTCGAGGCCTGCATCCCCGGACGGGCCGCCTTGCCCGAGATGGAAAGTTGTCAGAGAGTCTGCAGGCTGAGGATTTGGTCACCGAGTCCGGGCTCTATCGACGCGGCGCAGGCCGCGTCAAGATGGAGGCTGCGGCCGTTTGTTTTCCATGTACATGAATACCCGAGACTCAAGGTAGCACTCTGCCAAGCAGGTTGGCCGTGAAAGCGACACAAGGTGGTGACCCAAGAGGAGCAAAATCCAGACTTCGCAGTGCTCGCATGTGCAGGCAAGCTCCTCGAGAGAGTGGTTTGCTGGGTGACATGGACCGACTGCACCGGCTTTGCCGCTTAGGCGTTTCGAAAGTCTCATGCTTGGCACTTTGAGGAGCTGAGCCCGCCACAGAACCTGGCAGAGCTTTGGCATGAGCTCTTAGAGGCCACGCAGCCGTGTCTGGACCTAGTCCACGGTAGCTTGGTGGTTGGGCAGCCTTACATTGGCTTGCCAGGACACACTGCCGCCTGACAAGCGTGAGCTGCTTCAGGCGGGGCTTGGGTGAGTTGCCTGCGAGTCCGCGCTGATGCTATGCTGTCCTGCGCTGTCCTGTGGTGGCCCGCGAGGCTTCCTGGGATCGTGCCGCAAATGATAGTGAGCGCGTCTCGACTGCACTGGTAAAGAGTTATGGGCAATGTGCCGCAATCTATTTAGTCAAGGCTAAGTAAATTGGGGGGAATTCACAGACCTGTGGTTGCACAGTTGCACTTCAGCAGCCGAGGATATATGCTGTTCCTGGAGTGCCCAGCCTGTCTTTGGCAATGGTTGGAGGGTCAAACACACAGCTGGAGACTCCTTTGCTCGGCTCCAGCTTGACAAAGTGTCGACAAGACCAGAAAATGTTCCGAAGAACTATGTCCAGGTTACAGTAGATGACTCTAGCTCGAACAGATAGGGAAGGAGCGAGGCAAGAGCCGAAAAGGCGCAGCAGTCGCCCCCCTGCCTTCGGCGCAAGGCTGGTGTGAGTATCGCCGTAGTAACGTGGTAGCCCCCACCTTGCCACTCAGACTCGGTCTATGGACATTGTCGGCCAATTGTCGCTTGCGAATCGTGCATCGCGTTCTGGTTTGGATTCGCTGGGAAACCGGTCTACTGCTTTTCCACACGATTGGGCCCAGCATGGTCCACACAGGGATACACAGGGATCTCCCGAGATCCTACAAAGCCGACAGTGAAGGCACAAACTCAGGCTGCGACCTCGTGAGAGACTCAGCGACCGGCATAGGGAACTCCAAAAACTGTCGGAGTCGGCGAAGTACACGCAAAAGGGATGCCTTCAGCTGCATGTGCAGGGCTGCTGTTAGTGATGTCTGCAGCATGGCCAAAGCTATGGGCAATGCATTGGCAGGTACAGTAGCTACTTGCGCAAGCAGGCGGTCAGCGAGGAGGATAAAGCCGAGACCAGGCACCATGATCTGTTGCCACAAGCTGCATACTCCCAGGGTTTAGCGGCCGTTTGGGAGGAAGCAGCTGGAGCCGCTTCTGAAGCAGTACGGTCTGCACGACCTGCAGCAGGAGCTGAGCACTTGGAATTGGTAGAACATCGCACAAATTCCAAAGCGTGTCATACGATGTTCCAAGCAGTCAGGTCAGAATCCTCGGGGTCCTCCATCTGGCGTGGTGCCCGGAGAGTGCTTGGCAGTCCTAGAAAGGCTCAGCGAATCGGATGGGACCCGGCCAAGAGGCGATAATTGGCTCAAGCCTTTGGGGGTTTTGGTAGTTTTTGTGACAACGAGTCCTTCCTTTGCGATTTTGGATTCTGCAGCACGCGCTCCGTTTGGTGTATCGGGCGGGTCACCATGTCCACCCTGTACTAGTAAGGGATTGAATCAGTTGTTCTTTTTAGGTCGTGACGAGACACGGCTTTTAGGGTTTTGAGGTTATTCAGTATCCCCTCCGTTTAGTTTAGGGAATTGGGCTTACCACCCATTCTACTCCATTAGCGTGTTGGGTATGTTGGGTTTTGGACCAAGCCGCTACTTGTAAAGTTGACGTGTTTTTCTGATTGCCTGTGTTTCTGATTCAGTTCCCCGAGGTTGTCTGTAACCGCTCATCTGAGTGGCATAGCGTGTCCGTTTTAACACGCTGCTGATTTGATTGATCTAGCTCCACGGATCTCATTGTGGGATGCTGCTCATGCCCCAGATCCAGAACACGTGAGCTGTGACGCGGATCTGCGGACTTTTGGGGACAAGCGCGGCAGGTTCATCAAAGCTGTTTACTGAGGTTTATGTTGGCTGCCCTGGCGATGCTTGTCGCTGCAGTGGTGCGCCCTGACCATGCAGATGAGCATAGACCACTCGCATGGTTTTTCCAATAACTTTGTTTCATTTCTGACGACCGCATATGCGCCACCTGTCGCAGATTTGGTACTCTTACGGGCACGCTGAGACTGAGATTGAGGCTCAGTCCTTGTAATCTGCATGGGAGGCCTCAAGTTTTAAGTGCCTCAGGCCTTTCCAAGGCACAAGCAGCCAATGACCATGCTGCCCACACTTTCGGTAGAGCCTGGCATGCCACATGGGCATGGGAGCTTTTGGTCCTACTGGGTGCAGGTCCTCTCTGGGAATGGGGACGTTTGGGCAGGCCGGCTGTGGGCAGATATGGAAGCTGCCCTTTTTGCCTGTAGTGAAAGGCAAAGCAAGGGAGGAGATGGGCCAAGACGGCCCACAGCCCAAACTTGTTAATGCAGCTGCCGCGCGCCTGCGTGAAAACTCTGCAACCACGGAGGCGGATCTGAGGTTTTCGTGTACCATTTTTTCGCCCTGAATCCGTTGTATTCCCCGAAGGCTCGAAGCTTTGCATCTGAGAATGAAACGTGCCATTGCGGCAACGCTACCACGAAATCCAAGCAAACAGATCTGAGACTGAGAAGACTGGAGATGTTGCCTCACCGATAGAAAACGACAGCAAGGAGGGCATGAGCCTCAATGGCATCGGCAAAGAGTGGCAACAGGTTCGCCGCCTTGGGCTCGGAAGATGAGTGCGAGGAGCCTGACAGCAAGACCGATGCCAAGACTGACGTCCTGGCAAAACGTCCGCCGAAGCGGAGAGCGAAGCGGAAGCGCAGCAAGGCCATGCGTTCAGAGGACAGCAGCCTTTCTACTTACTCAGCCGCGATGTGCAGGCCCATATCGGGAGCATTTTAGAAAGCTGGCAGGTGGAGTCGGGCGAAGGTGCTGGAGTAGACCCTGCGCATTCTGACACAAGATTGCCAAAGCGCAAGAGGAAGAAAGAGTGGCTTGGCAGTATCAGCACAAGTCGACTTGCTTGCTGTCGTCTTGATTGTGTCGCTTCCTGGTATACCAGGAAGCGACTCGGCACGGGAGACGTCGCAGCGGCTGCAAGCCACGGACATGGCGATGGCCATGGACCGGCTTGTGAAGCGAAGGAGCCTGCGAAGGAGCCCCAAGTCGAAGGTTCCACTCACAGCATTAGGTAGCGATGAAGCCAATGAAAGTCTCGCAACGGCTGAAGGCTTGCTGCCCACCGGGACCACCAAGACGCTGCAGGGTGGGGTCACCATCAAGGCACACTTTACTGGCCTGCAGGGAGCTTTAAAGAGCTGCAACTGGCGGAGGTGCTTCGAGCGGCTCCCAAGGGAGCACCACTCGCAACAAAGGGCTGCGAAGTGAAGCTCATGTACGAGGCCAAAAGCTTGTCCAAGATAGGAACAAGCACAGCTTTCCGTTTGCAAGAACATTGCAGGGACGGCTGCCGGACAAGAACGGCCGACGGTTTGACGTCGGAGAGATTGACTTCCTTCTTGGAGATGCCTTGGCCTCAATGGTCTCACCCCACACTTCGGTGGCTGCCAAACATGCCAGACGATGGACTGATTGTGACTACGGACTGATCCTTTTGCAAGCATCTCCCGACGGCTGAGGGCACAATGCTGCCTGGGTTTGCCATTGGTGTGGCCGGAATGGGTGTCGGAGAGCGCCGACTCATTCGCGTGCCCTGGCGGCTTGGGTATGGGAAGAAGGGGAAGAGGCCAAAGATCCCTCCCAAGTCCGATCTGGATTTCGACGCATCGCTGACCTTCTGCGGCATTGACTGGAAGCGGCGTGTCAGCTCCGGAGATGTCGAACAAACGACGCGAGGCTGCGAAGAGGCGCGGCAAGAAGCCGAGGCCCGCGTAGGTAAAAGGGCGCGTGTGGATCATCGCCTTGACATCAGCAATCATCAGCAAGCGGCGATCTAATCCAGTCACTGCGAGACACCACTGACCACAGGTCAGACCCGGATATCATCTAGACAAGAAGACGCTCACACATCCGGATTACGGATTGTCGGAGGAGTTGTAGTCATAAGTAGGCGTCTAGACCTTGAAAAGATTGCAACGCCTGAAGCATCCCTTGGATCTGATCGGCTCAGATAGCAGTGGTTGGGATCCCAAGTCGGGACCGCCTGTTGGGGCATGGCTGAGGCAGAGGGCAACACAGTACACGAGGAAACCGCCTAAGGAGAAAGACTAAGAAAAGGAGACTCCTCTTGATAGCAGGCTGGCACGGTTGGAGGCTCGTCTCCCGCAGCTGCCCTGGACATCCCTGAGCTTTACATCCTTTGGAGCCGGTGGCGTAGTGACATCCGACCCAAGGCAAACAGTGCGTGGAGGGATGACAGGCCCTTCAGTGGTGAGTTGTGTCTTAACACAGCATTTCTGTTGTGATGTGTCGAATGCTGGCAGGAAAAATGCAACTTTGTTGCCGCCTCGCAAGCTACCAGCAGATTCGCGCACCGAGCTGAGATGCGTAAGGTCTGCAGGTTTAGACAAGTCATGGAGCAAACAGGAATTACTTCACTGATCGGAATGGCAGCACGAAATTCAGAAATTCATACACACACCACCAGCCTCATGACTCGTGAGCAGCGCAGTGGCAGTGACTCAGGATATGCGGAACTCATCAACTCGCGCCAGAAAACGCTTGGAAGTCTGGACTTGGCTGCACAGGCTTGCCGTGGTTCTCTTCTCTGCGGGAAAGCTGTGGTGGAGGGACCTCGTTGGGACTTGCTGTCTCGGTTCATCGCAGAGTCCAACCCCATTAATACCAACAAGCCCAAAGCCCTAAACTAACGAGCACCCACGTCCGGAGCCCCGCACGCCCCTTCAAGATCACATAACTGCAGACCACGAAATTCTGGCTGCGTCAATATATCCCTTCAAAATCGCACGTGATGTGTGGCCATGCCATGGTGGCATCTCAATCGCTGGACAAGCCGGCATCACAGCAAGAGAATAAACGTTGAGTTACCAGCGAGAGGATGTCGAAAGTTTCGCGCCGTGGTGCGACGCAGTCGAGCGGCAGTTTTCGGTACCACGCCATGGCCACTGCATTGCACTTTGTGCTTGCTCGTGCGTACTCGCATGAAAGGTTGCCGAGCTTCAGAGGCTTGGAAGGCCATGGGCTGCCTCCTTCTCACCTTTATGCCACCGCCTTTCAAACCACACCGTCGGCCCGTTTCCTCGCCGTCTTTTCGCTCGCGCCAGCTCGCAGCTGGCTACGAGGCCACCAGAGGTCCTACAGTCGCTGCTTTTTGCTCGTGGCAAGTCCTTTCGCATGGGCGAAGCGCAAATGACACCATCAGCCGCGCGACAACAGTCGCCTAGCTCCGCGACACCGTGCTGTCGCTCGTACGTCTTGCCTGATCCATCCACGCGGGCACCTCCACTTACTTGTGGTGGGACGATGCGGGAAGTGTGCACGAGATCGCGCAAGCTGAAGGCGTCGAGCAGGGCGACTCGTTAGTAAAGGCGCACGCCTCTTGCTTCCGAGGGGCCTGGCGAGCGCGTTGCGGCTTCCTGACCTCTACGTTTTCACCGTCCCGGAACGCGCTGCACGGTTGATGAGTGTCGTCACTGGCGAGGTCGAACGAGACACCGGGGTCGAAGCAAACCTTTCTAGCGAGCCTGATTGTCTCCTTCTTTCTCACGTTGCAACTAGGGGCAACGTGGCCTGGACGTGTGGTGTGGCGACCTCTCCCCGGCTCTGCGTGGGTTCGTCGCTTTGGGCGTGCCCATTGGTCATCCCGGCTTCGTCAAAGCCCACGCTGCTGAAGAAGTTGAAGCGCTTGCCGGATTTTCAAAGCGCTTGGCTTTGGTCGCTTTCCGCGCAGTGCCTCGCGCGCAGCACCTGCTCTGAAACGTCCCCGTTACAGACATCCTGCCATATTCCCATGCTATCTCGCGCTCACGAAGATGCAGTCTGGCCGTTGCCGAATGTGTGCTCAACGACAGTGAGCTGCATGCAGATGCTCCCCCGGTTCGGCACCAACGTTACTCCCAAGTAGCAGACCGGCTCGTGTGCGAGTTCGGCGGCGAACCGGAGTCACCTTGCTTGCGCGCAGTTGCGGAGGCTGCACGCCTGCATTCCAGGCACCGCAATCACGCAATCCCAGCGGCTGACACTGAGCTAGGCCTTGGAGGGCTTGGCTGGTAGCGACATGCCGTTCTCGCATGTCACACCTTCATTTGAGAACGCAAGTTGTTTCCAGCTTTGACGTCCCGGATTACATGCTCCGCGCATTCACGAGCAACGACGCGCCTGAACCACGCCCGCTGCCCGGGGTTATACTGTGTGTTGCCACCCCTGTCGCGCCAGCTCACGGGCCGCACTTCGTCGAGCTGCCGGATCGCAACATGCAGCTGGCACATGCGCCCATACGACACTCGGCACATGGCGCCCGCCCTGGGTCTGCGGTCGGCCCCCGATGCGGCGAGGATGCGGATTTGGAAGATGTCGACATGCCTTCACAAGCTGGCAACCCATGCGAACGGTACGGAGCGATCCAACACTGGACGTTTGACCGGTTCGCGAGCCGGGGCGAGCGTGGCGCATGCAAGGTCAGGAGGGGCAGGTGTGAAATTCCGCATGAGCCATCCGGAGAATGCCGAGGGGATCGTCAACGGCGAGGACGCAACCTGGCTCAACTTGGGTACTTGGGGAGTGTCTGCCACAAGTCCTCGTAGCTGTACGGTTTGGGCGCATGGTGGCGCTGCGTAAGCCCCATGGGCCGCGTGCGAGCACTGGTTGTGGGGGTGACGTCTTTACGTCCGCGCGCTGGCGCAACACTTCGCCGCCGCTTACCAGGAAGCTTGCCTCCCGTACCAGTATGGGGTGGGCACATGTGGGCACTACAAACTCCGGTCGCTGGCGCCAGGGTGCTGTCCGTCGACGCGGTCGGCGCCTACGATCATGTATCGCGCCAAACCACACTAGAGGGTCTCTGGTCTCACCCAGCCAGTCACCGGAAGCTGCCAGCGCAGGTCGGCGAGGAGCTCGTGCAGCTCGGGCGCCTCTCCGGCGACGTTACACTGGCCAGCGAGTGGGAGCTCCAGCAAGGACGCGGCGATGGCGTGCTGCGCAGCGACCGAGAAGCCCTGACCACCGGGGGTGTGGTTTGGTGGCGTTTGCGTCGGGCGGCGCCATCAACAGCACGGCCGGGGTGCATGTCAGCGCCGGGCTGGGCATCGACAGCCTGCTGTGCACCATGCCACAAGGACAGCCCGTTCGCAACAACTTCGATGCGGCGGTCGTCGGATTTCGTGCTCTGGCCTTCCAGCATCGCGTCCCAAGCGGCAGCGTCGTAGCCTTGTTCGCGGAGGCAGGCGGCCGAGTGGCGCGCTGCGGCGAAGGGCAGCACGGTCTCGGTCGAGGGCTGCAGTGCACGGACTAAACGAGCGGCTGCCTGCGGCGCGCGTGCTTCAAAGGTCGGCAAGCAGTCCGCCCAGGATGCCCCGTAGGCGGCGGGGGCGGCATCGACTGCCGCGCGCACCCGCAAGCCACCAAACCGCAAAGGGAGTTGGGCGAGGCGCTGTGAAGGCTGAGGCAATGGCTGCGGGGGCGGGGGCAGGGAGTCCTGCGACAGCAGGGTCGCAAGGCATGTGCATACAGCAGCGTCGTGCGCGGGCAAAGGCCTCAGTCGCGCCAGGCAGGAACATCCGAAGCAGGAGGAGCCACGCGCACTGCACGCGCGGGCAGGCAGGTGAGCAAGTGGTCCTAGGTCTCGCGTTTACCACGCAGCTCCAGTTGTACGAAGGCCTCGCTCGCTTCCAAGCGGCGCGCCCAGCACCAGCAGTCCTTGCTGGTCCGCCGGAAGGACCAAACGCCCCTCCAGACTAGCTCTGCACCGATTGCTTGGAGACGGGCGAGGCCGGCAAGCTCTTCACCGGCGGCATTCCATACGCGGGTCGCCGTGCAGCGCAGCGGTGCGATCTGTGCTAAGACGACATTTAAGTGTCGTCCAGGAACGCGAAGATGGCCTCACCCTGTTGAAGCCCGGCTGCCGCTTCGCTCAAAGCGGCGTGTTGTGCCAGGGGGAACAGAGCCGGCATTAGCGGATCTCCTTGCTCGCCTCCGTCGCCTTGCGTGACCTTATGTTCGGTGCCGGTCTCGTCGAGCCAGGAGTCGACGCTGGCACAGCTATAAAACTAGCGGACAAAAAGCAAGAGCGGGGCGAGGGCCGGGCGGGAACGGAGACCTTCCAGCATGGCCTAGTGCGACACATGGTCGAAGGCGCCGACGGTGTCGCCTGACAATACCGTAGCGCCCTCCTGCTCTTGTGCCGCCGGCGGTGGCCCCACTGCGGCGGCGGGGTGCCCCAGCTGACGTTAGTGGGACACCAGGGTGGTGTCAACCGCGAGTTGCGAGCAACCCAGCCTACAAAGGAAGTCCATTGGCGATCATCAGCGACGACCTCCATGTGTCGCTCATCCTGCCTTGCAGGTTGAGATCACGGACCACCACAGTTGTAGCAACAGCTGCGCCGTCCTCGCGGCAGACACGTGCAGCGGCCCGTTCAAGCGGCCCACCTCGCTGTCGTACGGTGCCGGACCGAAGCTGCGACATGATCCCCTAGTACATCCAACGGGCGTTGGCAGTGGCAGCGGACTGGGGCCAGTGGCACAGGAAGTCGGAGGCGGCGGAGCAGTAACACGCGGAAAGGGAGGGGCCGAGTCGACGGCGAGCTGAAGAACAGTAGGACGCACAGTCAGGCTGCAAATGGGCCCGACTGTGAGTCATTTCGTTCGCGACTAGATGCAGCGTGGTGCCGAGGACCTTTGTTGCAAGTGCCTATTTGCCTTTCGCCGGGCAGTCGCAGCAGCACTGTGGCTGTAGATGATTGGGATAGATTGCGGCCACCGGGGTTCGACCTTGTTCGAACCATGGCGTCCAGAGGGTCGATGACATCACGCCCAACACATCAACACCGTTGGCTGCAGGCATGCCGGCTGGGCAGCTGGAAGCAGTGATCCTGGGCAGTCTCGAACAGGCCCTGCCCAGAGGTAGGGCTGATCATCCACAGGCTCGCCAGCGCAAGCAAGCGTTTTGGGCCGCCGCTCAGCTCGAGAAGCGACAGGCCGCACTCGAGGCGTTGCAGGCCGATGTCTGTGTTGGCGGCCACGACCAGATCCGCGGTGGACAGTAGAGCTTTGTCGGGCCTGGGGGCGCCCGCCTCTCCACATCACCTTGGACTCCGTCAAGTGCGTGGGGGCCAGCTTGAAGGCGGGTGGCTGCTACCACTCGTCCTCGTTGTACTTTGGGGCGGCTGTGGGGGACTATTGCGTACCACCGGCACCTGTGGGAGAGGATGTTCGCTGGGCCGTAGGGACGCGGTGCTGCAGCAGAAGAGCTTCTATCTATTGCCGTGAAATATACGCACAGGTTGTCGCGTTTGTGCACAGGTGCAAGCACTTCCATCTTTTTGGGTAGCATACGTCGACAACCAGCTTGGGATGACAGCCTTGCAGAAAGCCACTTGTCGGTGACCTGCTCGCGGATGCTCGTGACACCGAGCCAGTGCCGACGACCCGACTTCCGGCTCCGTGCTAGTCCACCTGTCTCCCCGCGTGAACTGCGCCCTGCTTGCGGGCGAAGTGCTGGCGCAGTAGCCGGTAGCTAGCTGCAGCCTTAGCTTTCGGAGCTGAAGCACCTTTGGCAGCCGGAAACACGTCCGAGAAAAATTAAAAAAAAAAAAAGGAGTTTTCGCCCCAGAAACGAGGACATTAATACTATCTTGACCGCGTCTTAGTCTTTGGCCACCCGACGTCTTGAATTCATATGAGTGCCCTCGTCATGGAACATTGCAGACCCAAATTAAGAGCCGGCTTTGGCACTGTCCAGCCTCGATGCGAAAAAAAATCGCCGTTCCGGGCACACTGAATGAAATCCGGGCCCAGAAGCCACAATTTTTTTTCGGGTCCTGGTTTTTATTCCAGCACTTGTTGGGAGGGTTGTTTTCCAGAGTTGGGGGGCGGCACCTGGTGACATAGGCGCGATTGGGTGGGTGTGCGTAATGTGTGTCTGTAGGGGGAATACGGTCCTGGATGTTATTCTGCGACCTCCGGCACAGCAAACAAACGGGATCAAACGGGGCCATTGGAGCAAACAACGGAAATCCGATTGTTTAACTTAAACTGAAACAAGATAGGCAAAACATTGCGATGGCCTCGGGAGGTGTTGGTGCAGTGTGAGTTCGTCCGATGCATGTGCCCCGAACCACGGATTACAACAAAACCATGGTTTTTTTGGTTTTTGCGAGGGACACTGGGCCTTGAGGCCGTCGTATTCTCCGGCGACCCCTTAGGCCCGCAGGAAATCCCAGGAATTTGTCCGAATAAATTTGCGGCCCTATATACCCCGCCTATAAAATTGTTGCTCAACACTTGCCGCGAGCTTGAGGCCGTTTTGCTGACTTTGGCACCGGGATAAGCTTCTCAGTTTCCATCCCAGGTTCAGCCTTGCAGTGGCGCTGGGATCCTCCGTTCTGATGGGGAGGTGGCGCCGACGGATGGGGTGGGGCAAGCATCCTCCACCCGTGGCGACACTTCGGATCTCAGACGCGAGACACGCCACCTTCCAGGATGGAAAAATTGTGTGAGCGCAGGCTTTCCGTTTCAGTCTTGAGCGCTTGAGTGAAACACGTCGTGACGCACCGTAGGCCGCAGGTGCCAAAAGACATGCATTCGAGAGTTTCGACTTGGTAACAGCGATGGTTCGTATCGCAGCGCGACCAAGTCGAGGAGAGATTTTCCTTCCCGCCTTCGCCACCCTGGTCAACGTACAGATTTCCTCCCTTACACGAGACGCGCCACCCTCAAGGAGGAAAAAACTGT